TCCCTTCCAACCCCGACCATTCTGTGATTCCTTGATGAATTTAACCCTAAAAGCAATGCAAATGCTAGAGGATCTCTGCAACAGTATGGACAGCATGTTCATATTCATACCTCCGTAAACTACACCGATAGAAGCACTGCTAGAAAAGAGTGCAAATACAAAAGAAGAAATTTCAATTTCCACTAAAAAAAAAAATCTCCATGTAACTCATTTAAGAGCCCGAGATTGCTGCAGTCTCCTTGCTCTTCACTGAAGAAGCTGCAAGAGCAGGCTTGGTGGGTGCTGGGAAAGTAGCATTCCTACAAGCAAATTAGGCCCTTGCAAACAGTGAAACGTGGGAGGCACTCCAATATTCCAGTTAATGCCAAAACAATAGCCTGGGACACAGGAGGGTGCTCAGCAGCCTGAGCTGTCCCCCACAAGACATCTTGACATCTGTAGCTTTTTGAGTTCCAGCTCCTTGTTATACTTTGATTTTCTCGACAACTCTTAATGTTGACTAATTTCATCGTGTTCCTGAACGCTTTGGCTATATACACACTAATAAACAAATCGGCAGCGGGCACACTGTCCTACACGAGCACCTGCTATTCAAGTGTTAGCACAGTTCCCTGATGGTTTTCACCAGGGCCAACAAATATCCTCACCTATAATTCTCATGCATTCACAGGGTCACAGGCTAATACAGCCCAGTGACCTTTCTTGACAGGAAGCCTGGATATGGCCACCCTCTTGTAAGGGGGACAGGGAGTTAACCTGTTTGAACAATGAGTTCAACTGCCTTCAGGACCAGAGGACAACCATTTTATTTATTAACAGAGATGGAGTCGTCATTTCTGAATACTCACATTGGCACATCCCATTTCTAGAGTCTGTCAAATCATGTAGCGGGAGACAACAAAACGCAGTGTGGCTCTAAGTCGCATTTTTTCAAGTAAGTACAGTCAAATATGGCATTGGCCTATGTGACAACATGGCCACTCTTCATCATTTAGAAAATCTTGATTTAGATTCTGAAAGATAATCTCATACGTTGGTAGCCAGCTGCAGAAGTCACTGGGTGATACCTGGAGCCACTGTTACACAAAAGGTCAAACTCGATACTAGTAGTGACCCTTTGTGGCATTAAAACCTCTGAGCAAAGACACTCACACCTCTGCAGAAATATGACATGTCTAACATTTTCTCTATTCTCTGCATACAGAGAAAACAAGAGTTCCCACAAAGGGCTACAGATGTCTGATGAACGCAATGACACCTTCAATGTACAGCATCAACTCCAGCACTCCTGACAATTAGCTCTGCTTTTGTCCCAGGTTGCTGGGGATACCTTCAATGTACAGCATCAACTCCAGCACTCCTGACAATTCTCAGCTCTGCTTTTGTCCCAGGTTGCTGGGATCAAGTTATTAGGATCAATCCTTGGTCCAGACCTTTAGTGAACAGAGGCAGAGTCAACAAGTACAACGTACTAAAACCCTCTGCCCATTTAAGACCCTTTAAGAAAAAGGTACAACCACTCCTCACAAACCCCTCTTCAACTATTTCTAATGTCTTGTATAGGGGACCACTGTTAGAAAAGAGTTTGCACAAGGCTTCCTACTGCATGCCTCATCTCAGAAAGTCCTGTTCATAAAGGAGCAGGGTCACCACCTGCTTACTCCTGTGCTTCTTTCATTTAGCAGACAAGTAATCGCTACGGTGGTTAACAAACAACAGCAGCAGTTCCAGTCTGACATGAGGTGAGCATTATTCCTACTGCAATACATTTTGGAACCAGCATCATTCAGGGGAACGTCTAAAAACTTTGATATTCAGAACCATACTCACCTTGAGGGCTTCTACATGCAAATGCTCTTGGAGAGAGTGAAGCACTCTGGTCATAAAACCCCCTTTGGCATGGGCTAATGGCCAAATCAGAAAATGACCAATGGAGAAAAGGAGTGAGCAATCTTTCACAAAGAAACACTGTTAAGCTTTTTATGTTATACTGAGTACTTTTTAGCATCTGGAGATGGAAGGACTGTCTTTATAATCAGATTTTCTTTTAAGAAAATGAAGATCCTTGATGAACTGTGTCAAAATGATCAGCATACTGCCTTCTCCTGGATGTGATCAACTTTAAAACGTGGTAGTCCTGCCCTGAAAATTTCTGAGCCATTTCTACTCTTTTACATGTAATTTATACAGATGTCTTACTCCAGATTAGTGCAGCTCAGTATATAATGTTCCTGAAAAGCTGCTTTCCCCTAAAGACTGCAAGATTTGTTCTTGCAATCTTGGAATTTACTTTCTTGAACCAGGAAACACCAAGTGATGGATGAAAAAGGACTTCTTTGATTTTTTTTTTTTTTTTCAGAGAAAAAAGCAAAGAAAAACTTTGCTAAAAGTCGGAATAGAGAAAAATTTGAATAAGAGAAAGCAGAAATGGTGGATTATCCTCCAAGCTGTTAAGAATCTCTTGATTTCATAACTTCAGTACTTTCAAGCTACCACAATTAGTTTCTAGAAGTTTCTTGGAAAATGCAGCATTACTGAAAGTGAGCTCATCTTGTAGCTGTATTTCACACACACACAAAAAAGCCATTTTGCACTTGGACTAAATCACAGTGACTAGAAAACACGGGGTGACATTCAGTTCTCAGCTAAATCCTCCCATTACCAACCCAGCTACAGTCAGTGTCTATAAACACCGACCGCCTTTCCCAGCATGATGCACGTCGGAAATCCCAGCTGATGGTGTCACAGGGCTTCCTAACGCACAGAGCAAAACTCCTGCCCCGTCTGTTTCAACACAGGCATGTCTCTCTACACTTTCTCAGTCACCCCAACTACTCATTTTCCCATGCACATCCCAGCTCTGATAGTCTTCATCTCACACCAGCATGTGACTGAGCTCCATGCTGCCTGCCTGGGTCAGTTGTTTGGCTATCATTAGATTGCCCTGACTGAAAGCCCTAATGAGGTGCTGATCACATCATCCAATCACTCAGCTGAGCCAGAACGTGTCCCGTGGGACAGCCAGAAAAGACTGATGCAAGAATTCCAAGTGATGTGTAACATGAAAGGGCGCCATTCGCATCACTAGGACTCACAGCCTGTCAGCATGGCCATTAGAAATCCTGGGCTACAGAGATTTATAATTGAACCCTCCCACACACAGAACTTGCTCCAGACTGAAACTTGGCACAAAATTCAGTCCCAGGAGGGCATTAAAAAAAATAATCCATTCAACGGTTTCTGTCCCATGGCTTCAGCTCACAGCCATTTAAATAATGGCAATTTCTCATTTCTCTTTTTAAGTGAGGAAATCCAATATAAAACACCAGATTTACATAACATTGCAGGGGTGATACAAGCTGGCAACAAACCCAGGGAGAAGGCTGCCAGAGCCGTTCCGTCATCCCCTTTTGGTGAATTTCTCCATTTGGATTCAGTTTAACGGAATGATTTTTATTAGGTCTAGCTGACATCATGTGTAATCTGCAAATCCCACCTTCACATTGGTCAGGCAGCTTGCCCTAGCTTTGTACACCTTGTGTGCCTGTTAGAAGGGAACAAGCCCTCCTGTGGTCAACGCAGCCTCCACTTGTGCTGCCGCTGTTATTTCTTTGCTGCAGACTCTGCTGGCTGATTTAGAGGACAGTAATTAGTTGCCTATTGAACTGCAAAAGACCAACTGGACAAGAAATGGACATATACAAAACAAAAAAGAGAACTGATGAAAGCCAAAAGAAATTTGTCAGTAGAGCCTTTGATTTGACCAGAGATTGTTCGAACAACTACCACATCTGCTTCCACAAAGAGAGACAGATCCAAGCCTATTGTGGTCGCAGTCCTTTCTCCACCAGGTATTTCTATTCCTACAGGGGCCATCTGTAATCTTTAGTTTGTCAGCATAAAAAAAAAATCTTGAAGCTGATGCAATGCCACAAACACTTCTTAATAAATACATCAGACTTCAGGAAGTCTGTGACAAATGACTGCTGTGACCAAAAGCCTTCTGCTCCACCACCACTCACACAGAGAGGCCTTTGGTGGCACATGTGGGATAGCAAGGAACTTGTGTCACTCGCAAAATATACCATCTGCTGGATGGGCTACTGACTCCCAACTCATCACCACCAGCTCATCTCTTGCTCTCCCACAGCACACCTGAGACACAGCCCCTGCTACCATGCTACAGGTGGAGGACAAGGCATACTACAAATCATTACTAAAGCAGCTGACAGATTCTAACTATTTGTTATACAAGTCTACAAGTAGCTCAACTATAAAATAATTATACAACCAAATGCTAGGAAAAGAAAATGAAGATTTGTATCAGTAATCAACCTCAAAGCTCCAAAACTCAGAAAGAGGAACCTTACCTGTTCTTTAGAGAATTACTGACTTCAAGGTACTTTAAATCAGTTTGGACTCTCTCTGCTGCTGTCAGCAAAGATGCCACAAGCTACAGCAGTCAATGCCAAAATACTTCTTCCACAATGTGGTAGGTCTAAATTGCCATTGTTGCACTGACTCTCCCCATGTACTAAACCATCCTCCACATTCCAGCTGTGAAAACCCTTTTGGGTTTCTGAGACCTACATGCTGAGACCTCCTGTAACAGGAGAAAAAAGCTGAGCCCAAGGGACCACCTGAGCTTTCAAAACAGAAAAACAGTGTGGGGCAAGCATCTGCAGAACCACCTGAGCTTTCAACAGTAGTGCAGTTTTCTCATACCTTGTCCTTTAATTCCAAAAGGGGGTACAAAGTCCCTGATACGTGCCCATTTCCTGAAGGAATCATCCAAGAACATTGGTGCCGGCTTCGAGAACCTGAGAAAAACAAAATGAGAGAGAAATTAACTCCTGAACTAGGAAGGATAAATTTCTGTAGGGAGGTCGGGAGAATCCATATCTAAGTGCTGGTTCTACATTCTCACCAGCAATACAGTAACATGGAAGATTTTACTTTTACCTAAAGGCATGCACAGTGGAACAAATCTGTCAGACTCTATGCCATGAAGACACCCAAAACACTCAAATCATGAGCCTGGCAATCACTCCACTCAACAATTTAGAACTTTCCCAACATTGTTTGGCTACTAATTTAGCTACACTAAGTTGTAAACTGCAACCAGAGTTTAGGCAGCTTTAATTCCAGCTTTGTAAGCACAAGCCAATTTCTGTGCTGTCTACACAAGTGTGTGAGGAAAGAGTGCAGAGTTGCCTTTATATTGTTCATGACATACGAGTGTGCTGTTGTGTGCAGGTGTAAGTGCACTGGGCAATCGCCCGTGGAGAGTGAGGCTGGAGTTACCTGCTCTCATGGCTGCTTCTGCCTCACTCATAGGCACATATACAGCAGCTATCGTAACACAGGCAAGAAGGTGGTTCAGGAAATCAGGAAGCAGCACTTGGTTTACAGAGAATGGAAATTCAGGACAGATGTAGGTGATTTCTTATGCATTCATTAACATATATGATTCAAGAGAGGTCCTTGCAAAACCAAACAGTTGTGATCTATCCAAAATCACTTACAAAAGAGAGAACTAGTCCTTCTTAACTGTGTCATTATGGGAATACATTATCCTAATTACACCCTCAGCAGGCAAACACAGCAGCTACTAAAAATTTGTCTCTTATAGAAACAATCAGTACAGTGGCCAGATAGAAGGAAATAATTAGCAAAAGAAACTACAGAAATACTAACTTTTGTATGGGACCATTTCTGAGCATATCAGGATCACTCCTAGAAAATATGCTTATACTATTAGAAATCTGTTCACTCAATCATATCAAAACAGTATCAGGCATGTTCTTGATCAAAATCAATCACACTATGCTATAGAAATGAAGAAAGGAAGGTACTGCATGTTCAGAGTCAGAAAGCACATCTCCACTACAGCTGTACTGCAAGTGCAACGTACACAAATCTGACACAGATACAGCCTGGCTAACCTAGGTACTGGTAGCAGGATTGATGCAAAACACTGTTCTAACCCTCCCTTCAGGCTGTTTTTGCAGTCAGCTTGCAACTCCATGCCACTGCAATCTGATAACTTTTTGGATCTGAGCTACCTGATTTAAGATAAACTGAAATACACTACACCACAGTCAGGCACACAGCAACAATTTCAGATAGCAGCACAGCGAGGAAAGGATGCAATGAATTCTGAATTATAAACTGCTTGAAGTACAGTCCTATCACAGATGCCCAGTAAATCAGAAGTTGCAGAAATCTCTGGGAAGGGGGATGAGAGAGACCAAGAGCATTTAACAAAACAAGAAGACTCCAGCTCACCCATGCATACTGCTTCACATCCACTCATGCAATCTTTAATAAGATAATCTACAACCATAAAAGCAGGATGGGCAGATTACATGGCTGATCTAGAAGGAAAGGAATGTTTTTCCAGAGCTGAGAATACAAAAGGATCTATATAACTTTATCTGGGAAAAGGTGCAGAAGATGTGTTAGAGATATTGGAGCTTCTGAAGATCTTAAGTAAAAAACCACAAAAACCACAGGTCTATTTAAAAAAAAAGAAAAAACCCCAGAACAGGATACAATAACACTCTGAAAATATCCTAAAAACCTAATAACCTGATAAATTAGTTAAATGTTTTTTCAAGCATCTTGGTGCACTGAAATGTATTATGTTACACTGGTGAGTCTCCAAGGAGTTATCTTCACCTCCTTCCAACATCAACAGGAGGAATCTTTGTGGGATTCTCATACAATGCAAGAGCTTTTCTAACCTGAATGGCTACAGCACAGATGTTCACAGCTCTTCCTTTACATCTACCACTTGAACTAACAGCAGAAGTCAGGTCCCACAGAATGGTCCCCACTCCCCCCAAGCAGCACCTGCAGTGAAGGACAATCGCATTGCCTGGGGGTCACCAGCATCTTTGGGCTGGTTTGTTAGGTCACTGAGCTACTCTAGTTACTGCTGTGATGTGCAACCTTCAGGAAAAAAATGGATGCTTCAGAAAACGCATATATGAGCAGAAGAAAATCTGAATCAAGAGGATCCCCTACAATAATGCTACAAAGTAGTGCAGTGTAAATAAAATCTCAGCCAGATCAGTTTGCCCATTCAAGGGCACTGCAGGAGAAAGAAGGTACAGGCTGTAAGGTCAGGCCTAACTCAGCAGTTGGCATTATTTATAGATGCAATTCACTGGTCTATTTACAAGTCATACACCAGGAAAAGACAGTTTATAGTAGTCTGACATGGAGTATTGAGTGTCTCTCCCTAATGCAGTTTTCCCCTTAAGGTGCCTGGTAAAACCAGGAGGAAGGTGAGATCCTCCTGGGACCCTGGGCCCTGAGAGGAGTCCCCAAGAGCAGCTGAAGCACTAGCAGGAGTGATCTGGCACTCTATGGTGTTCCTTCTGCATGTGATGACCAGGGAATCAGTGATGCCCAGAGAGAAGGGTGAAGTGACTGTTACTGCATTTGCTACAAGTAAACTTCGGGAATTTTCTAGTGGAGATCATAATAGCCTTAGTCCACTTACTATTATTTGGTAATATTTAACACTACTGTACAAAGAACTAGGGAAACTGACTTTTAATTCATACTTTTGTGTCACTTAGGATGGAGAAGGAACAGTTTTGGGGGAAATATTACATCCATATGGGGAAAAAAGAACAAATTAGACGATATTTAGCTCCCATAAATCTTGAAGGTAATTCCATTCTAGAAATATTAAGAAATAATGAATGCTGTAAGCTTATGATCTATGAAAAGTGCTTTGCCACCTCAATAAATCAGAGCAGGCCAGAACTGATGTCCAGCAGTGACAGGGAAACGCTGTCTGCCAGACCTCTCCAGGAGCATGGATGCTCTGTCTCGGCTTTGAAGCATGTCTGGCATATTCTAGGACCCTTCAGGAAATATCAGGATATGCTTCAAACGGGCCATGGGAATGCTCTCTGCAGAGCACCTAAAATACATTCCAAGGAATGTGTGGGAGTTTGTCAAGCAGAAAAAGTAAATGTTTCTGAATGATGTTAAATTTTGTACATACGGGATGCTGCATTTTACCCGCGTCATCTGCTGCTGCTACCTAAAGGCAGGTGAGCTTCACCAACAACCACAGCTCCAAAAGTGAAGTAGGCTTGTGTTCTATGGGCAAACAGCAGTTAAAGCCAGTTTCGATTTTCAGATTTAAATTTTAAGCACTTCCTCTCTACCCCACCCCAAATTCCAGAACAGACATAAGGCAACCTCATAGCACAACAGCCATGAAAAGTCAAGAAATTTGGGTGCTTGTGGGACACACTTATGACCTGCATGAGTTGGGAAAGCAGTGCCAAGCAACTAAAATCACTAGTTTGAATGACATACTCCAATAAAGCAGCAAACAACATCTAAATAGGTGAAATGCTGGATATGATGATTACGAGGTACAGTCCAAATCTCTCCTAGCTCTGAAGTTTGCATTTCTTATACAAAGGCATTAGTAAAATCTCTTAACACAATTTGTCACAGCACACAGTGAAAGGAAGTGCACTGCCAGAAAACTATTCTTAAACAGAAACTATATAAACAAGAAAGTGTGATATATATTTGTGCCTAGGGGATTCTGGCTTATGTGACAAAAAATTACATTTCCAGTTATTTTCTCCCTTATGAGTAAGAAGAATTGTGACCTCCAATACATTTCTACCTTCTAGCTTGCCAGAAGCTCTCCAGCCATTTTCCAACCATTTCCATTCTGTCCTCGATATACAGATCCATTCACAACCACTCCTCTTTGATGTGTGCTGAGGTATTCAACATCAACTGTGCTAACTTCCCAAAGTATCATGCAAATCCTTGACCAGCACCACCTCTATCAAGGTAGCTTTTGAACAATTTCAGACATTTAATCTTGACTAGAATCTGCTCCTTACTCCTACTTGTTACTTTCAAGGCAATTAATACATAAACACATAGAAGAGAATAGGCTAGACCAGAGAGAAAGTAAAATAAATAAATCAATTGATAGTCTTTGGCTGTAACAAGGAGGGAGGAAGACAAGGTTAAGTCCCTGAAAGAGTAGAGGAGAAGATGGCAGCACACTTCTAGAAGTCATGACACTAAGGAAAGGCAGATTGGCAGCCACTAAGCTCCACTGGTGGCTTATTCCTCAGCTATTTCTCCCCCCCTGCCTCCTCCTTTAAGCTGCCCTGCCCTTTTGTTTCTTTTTTAGTTAGGGAGAATCAGCAGCAAAGAAAAACTGGAATCTGAAGGAAAAAAAACCCAAGCAGTGCTACAATCTAATGTTGTACATAACCTGCACATCGCATTTGTAAAAGGGCACGAACAACTTTTTTTTTTTTAAACACACAAAAGAATGATTTGCTCCAGCATGACTTCTATCCTCTTTTGTTTGCTATGCTCAAAAGCATCTATAGTTAGACAGAAGACACAAAATCTACCAATTTTATTAATGAAATGTCCAAAATACAAACCAAAGCACTCTAGCACTGAATAATTAGCTGTGATAGAGGCGTTTATAAAAGTAGGGAGAGAAAATCTAAACTAATCTTTACCTTTTTCCCTAGTGAGACCTAGATGTATGTTCTTTCCCTTGCCTCCCTTCTCTGGGGAGCAGCACGGTGTGATAGCATAAGGAATGAGGAGGCTTGTGATGTCCTGATTTCACATTTCTTACTGACATTAATCCTCTGTCAAAATCCAAGCAGCTCAAAGATTCCTCAAGCAGCTGAAAAATTTAAGAAACTGCATTAATAAGGATTAACCCCATCCTACAACCAACATACTACTTCTCCTAAATCAGCAAGTAAGAGCCAAAAAAATGGATGGCTGCAAGAAGAAA